TTTAATGGAATTCAGTCCTTTGTCAAAGATCAGCTGTCCATGGACGGATGGGTTTACTTCTGGGTTCTCAATTCTGCTCCATTGGTCTGTATTTGTCACTGTGCCAACACCAGGCTGTTTTGACTACCATGGCTGTATAGTAGGTTTTGAAGTTGAGAAGTGTGAGGGTTCCTACTTGGTTTTGTACAGTAGTGCCTTGTTTTCCTGGAGTCTCCTTCCTTTCCACACAGAGTTGATGATTAGTTTTTCTATTTCTTTAAAGAATGTTGATGAAATCTGGATCAGGACTGCATTATATCTACAGATCGCTTTGGAGAGTATTGACATTTTTACAATATTAAGTCTCCCTATCCATGAACATGGTGTAATCTCTTTTATGTAGGTTTCTTACAGTAATGTTTTGTAGTTTTCTTTGTATAGATCAAAAGATCTATATTTCTGGTTAGATTTATTCCTAATACTGTATCTTTGGTCTTGATTTCCTTTTCAGAATTCTCTTTGTTAGTGTAGAGGAGTCCGATGGATTTTTGTATGTTGATTCTGTACCCTGTCACTTTGCTGAGTGCTTCTATTGGTGCCAGCAGCTTTTTTGTTGAGTGTCTGGGATTTTTTTTTTGTGTGTGTGTGTGTATAAGGTCCTATCATTTGCAAACAGAGATAGTTTTACTTCTTCTTGTCAATTTGGATGTCTTTTATTTTCCTTTCTTGCCTTATTGCTCTGAGTAGGACTTCCAATACAATATGGAATAAAAGTGGTGATAAAGGGCATTCTTACTTGCTGTGTGTGCTGCGTTGATGGTTTCTTTGTTCTATGTATTTTTCTATGCTGAGTTCATTTTGTTTACAGATTTTCTTATCATTTCCTTCATTTCTGTTGTTTTAGTGTTTACTAAATCTTTATGATTTTCTTCTTTATTTTGATAAGAAGGTTTATTAATTTGTTTTGAGGTTACCTGTAACTTGAGAGTATCTTCCCGAGCTTAAAACAGTTTGTTCTACCTTGATATTGTGACTTCCTCTCCTTTGGAAGCTTACAACTACATCATTTATTCACTCTCTTAGCTGTACAGTTGTCATCATTTAAAAATTGACATCTCTGGTTCCCTATTTTCAGACTTGTAGGTTTATTTTTGATACTTCTATATCTGGGTTGATTTCTGGGTGATGTTGTCATGTGTCTTAATCTTAGGTGGTTGTCTGCCATTGTTGGATTTCTGTCTGAAGTACTCCCTTTAGCATTCTTGTAAGGTTGGTCTGGTTTTTACAAATTCCTTTAATTTCTGTTTTTCTGGAAATGTCCTAATGTTGCCATCATATTTGAGGGACAATTTTGCTGGATATATAATCCTTGTTGTTGTTGTTATGTGCCGTCGAGTCGGCCCCGACTCATAGCGACCCCTCCTTGGGTTTCCGAGGCAGTATCACTACGGAAGTAGGACTGCCCAACCTTCCTTCCGGGGAGTGGCTGGTGGGTTTGAACCGCCAGCCATCTGGTTAGCAGGCAAGTGTCTTAGCCACTATGCTACCAGAGCTCCCATATAATCCTTAGTTGGTAATTTTTTTCCTTCAGGGTTTTATATATGTCATCCTATTGCCTTCTTGCCTGCATGGCTTCTGCTGAGAAATCAGTGCTTAGTCTTATTGGTTCTCCTTTGTAGGTGATTTCATTTTTTCTGAGCTGCTTTTAGGATTCTTTGTCTTTCTGGGAAGTTTGATTATGATATGTCTTGGTTATTTTCTTTTGGGGTATGTCCTTCTTGGGGTTAATTGAGCTTTTTTATTGCATATATTCTCATCTTTCACGATATTAGGGAAGTTTTTTTCCAACAAATCTTTAAGAGTTTTCTTGGATGTTTCTTTTGCCTCTTCCTGTTCTGGAAGTCTGATCACATGTTAGTTATTCTTCTTGATGGTGTCCTACATAATACTCAGGCTTTCTTCATTTTTCCCGCTCCCCAGATTTTTCCTCTAACAGATTAGTATTAAGAAATTTATCTTCAATTCTGCTAACTCTGTCTCCCACAGATTCAATTTTACTCCTTTGTCTTTCCAAAGTATTACCTATTTCTGAAATTTTGTTATTAATCTTCTGGATTCCTATTTGTTGATTCTGTATGGTTTCTAATTTTTAATTTATTTAGTCAATTTGTTTTGTGTATTGTTTTCCTGGGTTCTCCAGATTTTTGTCTGTGTTTTCCATGGTGCTGGTCTTTGTTTCCAATGATCTCTTTCTTAATTTGTTGAAGAGTCCTAATGACAATTATTTAGAATTCCTTATTACGTAGTTGCAGTGCCATTTCTTCTTCCTTATTTTGGTCACTTGCTTGAGCCATCTTGTCCTGCTTTGTTTGCATATGTGTGTGTGTGTGTGTGTGTGTGTGATTTTTCTGTTGTCTCAGAGACTTTGTGGTGTTACTGTATTCATTTGTTGATTGTACATTGGTTTGCTTCACCCCGATTTTTTGTTTTGTTTTAGTATCTCCAGGCAACAAGGTGGGTATGCTATTCTGGTTGCTAGTTTGGCAGCACTGGGGTGCTCACCACCTGTCTCTGGGTGAACGTGGTAGTGGATGGTAGGTAAGTGTGGGTGTAAGTTTCTAACTGGTCATATAAAGTAGCTCATGGAAGACTGGGGAGAATGTTGACTGCCAACTGTCATTGATCTAGTGGTGCTGGAGTGGATGGTGGCCTTTGCCCAGTGGTTCCAGCAGGAGGTGTGGTAGATATGCCTAGCTAAAGTCACTGGTTCCTGACTAATGGGGGGCAAGAAAGAAAGGGAGGAGAGGAAGAGAAAAAAAAAAAAAGAACAAACAAACAAAGGGGGATGCGGGAAGAATTAAGAAGAGAAGAAGGTGGGGGCGGGGGAGAGGGGAAAAAACCCAGCATGGCAGTGGCACAAGGATTAGCTGCCAAACATGGCTGTAGCAGACACATGGTGCTTGCTCCATGGGAGTGCACACCACTGACTGTGAAGTGGTAGGGGCATGTGCTGCTGACTATGGATGCAGTGGGGGTGGGGTGCCTACTTTGCAGGATTAAAAAAAGAGGGGGTAAGGGGATGAAAAAAAGGAAAAAGGAGCAAGAGGAAGAGGTAGGAACTAAGAAGAAAGAAAAATAGAAAAATAAAAAAGAAAAGAAAAAGTGGTACAACACTGGTTGTTGTTGTTGTTATGTAACGTCGAGTTGGACCCAACTCATAGTGACCCCTCCTTGGGTTTCTGAGGCAGTATCGCTATGGAAGTAGATTGCCCCATCTTCCTTCCGAGGAGTGGCTGGTGGGTTTGAACCGCCAGCCTTCTGGTTAGCAGTCAAATGCCTTAGGCACTATGCTACCAGAGCTCCACAACACTGGTAGTGGGGTAGATGTGACTGGCTGCAAACTGGGTGGGGGTTGGGGTGCTGCATTTCTGGTCATTGGAAGTTTGTACAGTGTAAGGGGGGAGATCACATCTCTCTGGTTGTTGATCACTGATGTGGGTACCAGTGTAGTCTTAAACCAAAAAAACCCACTGCCATTAAGTCATATCTGACTCATAGTGAACCCTCCTTTGGCTTCTGAGGCGGTATCACTACAGATGCAGATTGTTCAACCTTCTTTCCAAGGAGTGGCTGGTGGGTTTGAACTGCCAACCCTCTGGTTAGCAGGCAAATGTCTTAGGCAGTACATTACCAGAGTGTAGTCTTAGGTGAGCGGAAATGGTTATCTGGTTCCTGCCCCAATTGGAATGCCGCTTACAATAATTCTAAAGGTTTGAGCACTATGCTGAGTGTGAGCTGGCTGTTCCATATGCCTTTTAATTTCCTGTTTTCATTTAGTTTCTTCCTATAATTTGTATTTGATTTACTTCTTCATGTTTTCCTTTGAAGCTCTACATTCTAGGATTGTCATCCATATCTGTCTGGGTAGTATATCTGCCTACCTTGTCATCTTTGATCAACCTCTTAATTTTACTCATTTATATCATTTTACTCAATTATATTATTTGCCAGGCCTCTGGAGGCACTGTGTTTGTGAGCCCTGGGAATTTAGTGCTAGTTATAATCATTAGCACTTCATGTCAGGGTGAGGGTGTCTTTGGATTCTTCTAGATTGCAGTGAAGAGCTGTCCAGTGGTATAGTGCACAACTCTGGGGGACTATGGATGAGTTGTGACCTTAAGGGTTTTGCTATACATAGTCTGCACAAATGTTAATGGTGGTCCTAGAGTCACAAGGAGTTACTCTGACATCAACACAGCTCTAAGACTACTACTAATTCCATGAAAATGAAGAGAAGTCATGGAAAAAGAGGAAATGCACATGCAGTTCCAACAGTGACAGTTCAATGATTTGCCATTGTGAAGCCCAATCTTTGACTTTCTATAGTTCAAACCATCTCACTGAATGTCATCTCTGGACAGTACATCAGGCTACCTTAAAGTACAGAAATGATTAGACTCACTGAAGTAATTAAGAAACCCAAGTAGGGTATTTTCAACAATGGTGAGAAAAACAAGTTTACACTTCCTTCTTAGAATGTTACTATATTAACTGTGAAAATTACTGGTTGCTTTTATTTTTCCCCCAAGCAAGGAAGGTGCTGTGAATTCTTTCATTCTTTCACTCTCAAGGGAAATCTAGCAATCCTTAAACCATATGAAAGTGCAAAATCATAGCAACAGTCACAGTAATTCAGATCCCACATCTAGGTCTGTATCAAACTTTGGTTGAACTACTCAAAAACTGAAGAGTAATTGAACTAGAAACTACAAGGGACTATGAGCCACAGGTGAGGTTCAGTTCCCTTAAAGTAAGGTGCTGTGTTCAGATCCCTGTTTCTGACACTTTAAGTGCATCAAATAGAAACTGGTTTACCACAAACATAATGTGTGGGTGACTTGGACACAAACCCTTGAGTGGAAACATGTCATAGGGTCTACCTTCTAGCTCCCACTCAGCCAATTTTCTGTAAGCCAATAAACCTTCATTGACAACTATACAAACAAACCAAGTAACTGTACCTCCTCAGGCAAGCTGACCACCAAGTCATGTTTTGTTTGTCCGACCAGTGCTTGCCAGAAGTATTCACTGCATGCGGCCAGCACAGCCCGGTGGGCCCGGAACTCCTTCCTCTCCACGATCAAAGTCACGTCACAGAGAATATCCTTTTTCCGCTGGTCATTGAGGCCCAGGAGGATGTTGGTGCAGTGGACTGTGGACTCATACACATACATGGGGGAGTCAGGCTGCTCATCCACAGACATGCCGTTTACACCCTGAAAGAAAGAAAGGCCACGTCACAACAGCCATCAGAATCAGAGGGAGAGGAGACAGATGACATCACAGTTCCTGTGTCCCATGGCCATGAAGCAGTAGAAAGAAGCAGAACTGCCAATCAGCACATTCATGTTAGGGGGTCAGAAAACTTATCTGGAAAGTCTCTAGGGTTGATTTTTAGCTTTCCCACTTGGCTTCATCAGTTTACCCCATGGTACCAATGTCAGATTTTTAAATGAACACCTAAAAATATCTAAACATATGTTGTTTGTTGCTGTTGTTATGTGCCGTCGAGTCAGACCCAACTCATAGCGACCCCTCCTTAGGTTTCTGAGGCATTATCACTACAGAAGTAGATTGCCCCATCTTCCTTCCGAGGAGTGGCTGGTAGGTTTGAACCGACAGGCTTCTGGTTAGCAGTCAAGTGCCTTAGGCACTACGCTACCAGAGCTCCCAATTTAAACATATAGGTACCTTAAAACTTTGTAATTTTATACAAAAGTCTGCAATCCTTTCAGAAATAATAGAAGACAGACACAGAGTAATCCCTTACCTCACAGACAACCAGACACTATGGGAGAGAGATCCAATAGATCTACCATCTCAGGACCATAGTGCCGGGGGGCACCAGACTCAATTGGTACAAGAAAATACATAAAAGCCTTGTTCTACATCCTACAATGGTGAGTAACGACTGGGCTCTTAAAAGTTTTCAAGTGGCCATCTAAGATGCAGCTAACAGTCTCCTAGCATCAGAAGCAAAGAAGAGTGCAAAAAAACAAAACAAAACAAAAAAAACCACCAAGGGCATTTGGAAGCAATCAGCCCTAGAACACAATGGCCCTCAAGACCAGAAGAACTAGATGGTGCCCGGCTACCAATGCCAACCACTCAGGAAAGGATCAAATCTGGAGATCCTGGATAGAGTGGGAGGAAAAACGTGGAACAAAATCCAAAAACTCAATAATGACCAGAATTATTGGTCAGATGAAATCTGGTGAGATCCCCAATACTATGACCCTGGAACACATTCTGTGCCTGGAATAAAACACACCCCCAGGGGCTGGATCTCAGCCCAATAGTTAACAAGATGTACATGCAGACCACTCAACCCAGGATGACACACCCACATACTCTATGGTAATACATCCCTTAGAGTAATCGACCACAGGGCACCAGAGGATCAACACTCAAATTGAGGAAATGCAGGACAAACAGGAGTGCATAAATATAAGGGCACAGGGAGAGGATTACAGAGTAGGGGGGGGGGGAGGAGAATGGGTTAGGGTTGGACATGGTAAATGGGGAGTGAAACTAAATGTATACATAATGTTGAATGTAAAACAAGCTCTTAAAATCTTTGTAATTTTGATTTTTATATAAGATTGAAAAAGAACTTCTACTATTTATAAATAGTCCCAATTCAAGTACTAACTGAGATTGGTGGTGTAAAGAGAAAACAAATCATTTTTAAATGTTTGCAATGCTGTATTGGTGGAGTACACATAAAGTTCCTAACATGAAAGTTGGCTAAGATGCCAAGCAGAGTAATTATCAAACTGTAATACACAATTTAATTAAAAAAACTACATGTGTACTAGAGAATACACAGAGCCAGCTACTGCAACTACTCTCTCTTGCCACTTTAGACAAAGCACAACCAACATAACGTGATTGTTGTTTGGCTTCTAAAAAGGTATGGAATCTTATTGTCATTCTCCCTACAGATTTTCTCTTTAAGGAAACATTTTTTTTTTTTTTTTAATATATAATATTAAAACCAAATCCAACTCACTGCTGTTGAGTCAATTCCAACTCATAGTGATCCTCACTGGGGTTTCTTACGTGGAGCCCCTGGGTAGTACAAATGGTTAAGTAAGCACTTGACTACCAATCAAACCACCACTCGTCTGGCAGTTTGTTGTATGGTGGTGGCTTGCATGTTGCTGTGATGCTGGAATCTATCCCACCAATATTTTAAATACCCACAGGGTCACCCAGGGTGGAGAGGTTTCAGCATAGCTTCTAGACTAAGATAGACCAGGAAGAAGGAAGAGGCGGTCCACTTCTGAAAAAACTTAGTCACTGAAAACCTTATGAATAGCAGTGGAACACTTGTCTGATATCATGCTGGAAGATGAGCCCCTCAGGTTGGAAGGCACTCAAAACATGACTGGGGAAATGTTGCCTATTCAAAGGAGAAGTGACTTTAATGATGTGGATGCAGCAAAGCTTTCAGGAAGTTGATTGAACAGTGTTTCGTTCTGTTATACACAGGGTTGCTATGAGTCAAAACAGACCTGCCGGTATCTAACAACAACAACCACTACCACCGTCAACTGAAAAGTTGAAGGTTCAAACCCACCCACAGTTGCCTAGAAAGAAAGGGCTGGAGATCTGCCTCTGAAAGGTCACAAACTTGAAAACCAAGTGTAGCGCAGTTCTCTTCTGCAATGCAGAAGGGAGTTAGAATCATTTGAAAATCATAATTCAACGTGTTATCCAATTATTTTCTGCTGCATTGCGAGCACAACTACAAAGTTTCTTTACACCTCTTAGTAGTCTCTCCATTCCATCTCTCTGTTTCCTACTCCTTGAAACCACTGCTCCACTTTCTTAGCTTGCATGTTCTGGAGTTTTATATAAGTGGAACCATATGGCAAGTATTCTGCTCTGTCTTCTTTTACTTAACAAAATTATTTTGCAATTCATCCATGTTATTGAATATTTTAAAAACTTGTTCCTTTCTTGCTAAAGTTATTCTATTGCTTGGATACACCACAAATTGTTTATCCACCCATCTATGGATGGACATTTGGGTTGTTTCCAGTTTGGGGCTATTATAAATAAAGTTACTATAAACATTAGTGTGTGCCTTTTATGGACATTTGCTTTCCTTTTTCTTGGGAAAACATTTAGGGTTAGAATGGATGAACTGTATGGTATATGTAAGGTTAACTTGTTAAGAAACTATCACTGTTTCCTAAAGTGGTTTTACCATTTTACATTTTAACAGTAGTGCATGAGTGTTCCAACTCTTTTACATCCTTGCCAATACTTGGTAAGGCCACTTCCCTAATGGCTGAAGTTGGGTAATCTACTTCCGTAGTGATATTGCCTCAGAAACCCAAGGACGGGTCACTATGAGTCGGGTCCGACTTGATGGCAAACAACAACAACGACAACAATGACTGAAGATGTTGAACATCTTTCATGTGCTTATTTGCTATCTGTGTATCTTCTTTGGTGAGTATCTGTTCAAGTTTTTTGTCCATTTTTTAAATGAGTTATTTACTTATTACTGAACTTTGAGAGTTCTGAATAAAAGTTCTTTATCAGATATGTAATCTGCAAGTATTTCCAAGTCTATAGCATACCTTGTCTTTCCATTCTCTTAACAATATCTTTCAAATAGCAGAAAGTCTTCACTTTGATGGCGCTCTGGTGGCATAGTGCCTAAGGCATTTGACTGCTAAACAGAAGGCTGGCAGTTCAAACCCACCAGCCACTCCTGCTGGGCAATCTACTTTCGTAGTGATATAGTCTCAGAAACCCAAGGAGGGGTTGCTATGAGTTGGATCTGACTCAATGGCAGTGAGTTTGGTGTTTGTTTTTTTCTTCTTTTGAAGTTCAATTTACTGCTATATTCTTTTATTCTTTTAGTGTTATAGCTAAAGAATCTTTGCCTAGACCAAGGCCACAAAGATTTTCTCCTGTGTTTTCTGTTAGAAATTTTATTTATTGGGCTCTTAATTTAGGTCCATTTTTCTTTTTGAATATACTTTTTTGTATATGTTACAAGGTATGGATTAAAGTGTTTTTTTTTTGCATATGAATATCCAATTTTTTAAGCACCATTTGTTGGAAAGACTATCTTTTCTCAACTGAACTGATTTTGCACCTTTGTTGAAAGTCAATTGTCTAGACATTTATGGGCCTATTTCTGGACTCTGTTCCACTGATATTTAATCTTTATGCTAACATCACACTGTCTGGATTACTATATAAAACTATACCAAATGAAATCAGGTAGTATTAGTAGTCTAATTTTGCTGTTTTTCAGTTATTTTGAATCTTTGCATTTCCATGTACATTTTAGAACCAGTCTGTCAATTTCTACAAAAAAAAATCTGCTAGGGTTTTCACTGGGATTGTATTGAATTTATTAATCAATTTGAGAAGAACTGCTATCTTAACAATATTGAGTCTTCTAATCCATGAATATAGTATATCTCTCCATGTATTTAGGTCATTTTTAATTTTTTTCAGCAATGTTTTCTAGTATGTATATAGATCTTATACATTTTTTGTCAGATTTATGCCTAAGCATTCATATTTTTTGATGACATTGCAAATGGTACTGTTTTATATTTTCAATTCCATTTTCTTTTGATAGTATACAGAAATACAAGGGATTTTTTTTTTTGTGTGTATTGATCTTGTATCCTACAACCTTGTCTAACTCACTTATTAATTATTGTAGTCTAATATATATATTCCATAGAATTTTCTACATAGAAGTTCATGATGTCTGGGAATAAAGACAATTTATTTCTTCCTTTTCAATCTCGATGACTTTTAATCTCTTTCTCTTGCCTTATTTCATTGGCTAGAACCTCCAGGACAATGTTAAATAGAAGTGGCAAGAACACACATCACTGTATTATTTCTCACCTTATGGGAAAGCATTCAGCCTCTTATCATTACATATGACAGTAGCAATAGGTCATTCATAGATGCCCTTACTGAGTCGAGAAGTTTCCTTCTATTCATAGTTGGCTGAGTTTTTTTTTTTTTTTTTCCAGGAATGAATGTTGGATTTTGTTAAATGTTTTTTATTGCATCTACTAAGATGACCACAGGTGTTTTTATTTTTTAATTTAGTTGTTAATATGGTGAATAACATGGACTGATTTTTTTTTTTTTTTTAATTGTGATTTGGGTGAAGATTTACAGAGCAAATTCACTTTCCATACAGCAGTTCACATATAC